TGATCCTGGTCCCACTGCGCCTCCGAGTGGTGAGTGTGGCGGGGTGTTGTTGTTGTTCCTGGTGCAGACGCAGCACGAGGACTTACACGCTCACATTTGAACATTGATGCGCGCACATTTCGGGCGTTGTGTTTGTGTTTTGTCTCCTTTTTGTCGTGGGAGGCGGGAGGGGGCGTTTGTTCGTAAAGACTCGTGTGTCTGCGCAAATATAAATAATATACAACTTTTAAAAAATAATTTGCAGAGCCGAGATTTTTCTATATCGACCATGGACGCCGGAATGGTACTGGTGAGTTTTTCGACTTGTGCAAGAGAGTTTACACTGGTTACACGTGATTCAGCGATCAATTCAATGTGAAATGACTACCCCCTCCCCCTCTGTCCCTTGCGCCCTGTCCGCACGTATAGAACTGGGAGGACCCATTCCTGCCGAAAGCTGAGACGCGTGTCGTCCTGAACGCGAGCGAAATGTGGGTGCCCGAACTCACGTCGAGCGGGTGAGTCGAACGCAATCGGCCGACACGGGCTCGACTGCACTCCTGCTACTCTATTGGAAAACAAATCAGAGGCATTCGTGCAGTAGTCGCACCTTTGTTTTTGAGTGTGCACTGTCAGTCACATTGGTATTGGCTCGCTTTATCGTGATTCAAACTGAATTGCCGGCGGCGGCGTCGTCGTGTGTCCGCAGCGTGTCCGAGCACGTCCTCTCGGCCAAGTCCGCCGTCGGCGTCCTGGAGACCGTCGGCGAGGGCACCAACCGCGTCACCGCGGTGCGCAAGACGACGCTCCGGGGCTGGTGCTGGCCGTACCGGACCGAGGACTGGCCCCGCGACCAGGTGCACTGCGCGTTCAGCGTCAAGCCGGCGAGCGGGCAGTCCTTCAACCTGACGCACAGCTTGGACGTCAACTATGTCGTGAGTGCGCCGGACTCTCGCGAAGCTGTTTATTACCGTACCAGCACCTTCATTTTCAGGCGGAAATTTCGATTTTTTGATACTTGGGTTGGGGGGGGGGCGAACTCAAAACGCTCAATACGTTTCTGGACCTTTGGTATCTTGAGCGTCTCATACGAGGGATCGACCACTCACATTTTTGGTGTACATGGAATATCTGGAATATTTTCTGGAAAATCTAGATTTTTTCGTGGAATATCTAGAATACTTTTGGAAGATCTGAAATATTCTTGGAATATTTGGAATTTTTTTGTGAAATGTCGGGAAATTTTTAGCGGAGTACGTAGAATACTTTTGGAATATCAGGAATATTTTTGTAATATCTGGAATACGTTTGGATTTTTTTTTCCAGTGTGTAGTATATGGAGTATCCAAGTGGTCCACGCCTCGGCCTCATACCTCACCTCTCTCTCTCTCTCGGTCTAGGTCCAGTGGCACACGGAGCACGGCAAGTCCCCGATCGAGCGGCTGGCCAACTGGCAGCTGCAGCGCCTCGACTCGAAGCTGTTCGTCGACCACGCGGTCGTCGTGGAGGCGGTGCTGCGCAGCCCGCGTAGAAAAGTAAGGCATAAAGTTGTCATAATTTTGTCGCCTCTGGTATTACTGGATTATCGATTACTTATGAGGAATCTATGACACAAATTATGACAAATGTATGACACCAATTTATGAGCAATTTATGACTTAATTATCACCGTCGCAACTGTCATAAAACGTCTCATAATTTTCTCTGTAAAAATGCAATAATTTTGTCCTCTAATCGGGCACCTCCGACGTCATCAATCTCATGACGTCACTCGCCTGCGCGGGCTGTTTGGTGTCCGGGAGGGGCGAATTCAACTTCGTGTAAGTGTTGACGATGGCAGGGGAAGATCGACACAATCATAAAACCAAGGTGTTTTGGTGGTGAAAATTTTTACTCCATTTCAAAATCATTCAAAGGTTTAGCAATATAAGATTCTTCATTGATGTGAATCAGATACATTATGGTTTCTATCTCAGATATGTCTATAACATCATTATCCTCACCAGAGGGTTTACATTTCATAATGTGGTTGACAGTTACACACTCATTTTCAAAAGCTACCGCAGTTTCATAGGGTTTTACAATAGCAAGGAATTTTTTTTGGCAGCTACAACTTAACAAACACTTACAAGTAACTTTAACAAACACATCCAAATTTCCATATTTTACTACAGAGTGTTTGTGGTACTGCACAAATGAAGAGATGCGTTGGCCCCGCTTATAACTACTAGAAACATACAACAACTTGTTTTTCAAAAGACGATGGAACAATGTAACTGTAACATCATTCGATTCCAACAAGAAGCCATTTTTAGCAAGATCTTCTTTTACATAGGAAGTATTATCCATAATAGGAGAATGACATCCAACCGAATAAACACTATTTGAAATTTTTTCAGATAGCTTTAGCCTCATCCACTTATTGGAAAGCTTTACACAGTACTCTTTGGCAGGTCCAGATTTCATGCTATGAATAAGCAGTGGTAGTTGGGTGACCATCGATAGATTGGAATAAATCTGGAGTCCAGCATGTCTTGACCCATGAGCTAATCTGGCAATCCTACCATTCATGTCTTCATATTTGAAACAGTTAACTAAATGCAATGGAGCCAAATTTTCCACAACTAAAGGTAAATGGAGACACTTATGGACGTTATGGGACATGTTTCTCAATCCAAAGAGAGACTGAAAATCTTTAACAAATTTGTCCAAAAGCAACCTTGCTCTAACTAAATCAAAATCACTAACACTAGAGGAATTTAACAGGGCTACTCCTTGAACAAATAACATCAAGTGGTCAAAATATTTTGCATCTAATACACCATTAAGTACACAGAGACACAGATAAAACAAAAACGTCCTCAACTCAGAGGCTTTCCAATACACCAGTTTATCAATGAGTTGTGGAATTCTCTCTACAAAATGAGGCACTCTAATTGACTTCAGCTTACTATTAAGAATCTTAATTTTACTATAGATGGAATACGGTTCATCTCTATGATCTCGATCACAAAACAGGTGTAACAGTTGGCGCATTACACCCAAATAAACGCAATGCATTGTATCTACTGCACTGCTAGAAAACATTTCAGGTACCATGTAAGACAGCAAGGTTGGGCCTTTGACACCACAGCATTCTGGTCGATTTTGTGAATCAGTGTTAATGATGACCTTATTGTCAACAGCAAACTTTACCTGGTTCTCATACTTCTCCATTGTTCTCAGTGGGCAATTTTCATGGTAGGGAAACACTGTTACTTTCCCAGTAGCATCTGAATTAAGGCCCACACACTCACACACCGGACAGGAATAAAAACCAGAAGGATGCTTCAAATTTAGAAACATGGCTGTGGCAGGCGCATCAGCAGTCCCACAGAGGACACTAGTGTGAACTTTGCTCTGGAATTCATCACCATAAAAAGTAACATTTATGCCTTCTTCAATCAGCTTTACATCTTTGAAAATGGGTTGCAGAAAAATATTTGGGTGGGGCTTTGTAGTACTTCCCCAAATCCCACCCAGTATCAAGTTTTCACTTAGAAAACGTTTTTCGGGTGGGAGCTCATTAATGACAAAATACCAAGCCCACAAAGAAAAAGAGCTAGACTTATAAACTTGGAGGCCATCTGTGTTCCACATTAAAGTAAGATTAGTGGCTCCAGGAACAAATTTCTCTTCTGCCTGCTTGTAAAGATTGCCGTCATAAATATCTTCATGGTTGTGCTGATTTTGTTTCCCCCTCCTATTCTTATAATTAATATCATGTACAAAATTTGACCGTTCACAAATACGTTTAAGTTGGGGAACCAAAGGAAAGGATATAAAATATTGAACGGTTCTGGTATCATCTGTGCACACAGAACATAAATCCTTGTCAGAGCTACAACTCCTATAGCATACACTGCAAAAATAAAATACATGAACCGGTTCATCATTTTGATCAAGCATTTCATAAAATAAATGTTCACTTTTGAAAAAGTTGTTAGGTTGGGGCATATGCAGAGAAATGAGACTTAATAATCTACCTAAACCCTTCCCACTCATATGTTCGGATTGCACAAGAGATAAAATTGATATAAAACTCTCTTTGATGGTGATAGCTGATCCAGGAAACAATGGCTGATCATGGTGATGTGCTGGGCTCTCATCCTCTACTGTCTCTTCAAACACAGGATTTTCATCAGCTAGTAGGATTTGAAAGTCAACAGTTGGTGTTTCATCAGGAGCTTCTTCTTCTGAATCAGAACACATCCAGGGAGGTTCTGGAAAAAAATATGTGAGAAATTTGAATGCTTGACATAGTATTAGAATAAACCTAACATTTTGTTGTTTTGACTTTCAATATTTTGATTTCAACAAAATTAATATAATTTAATAAAGTACCTGGTATGCAATCAGTTAAAGAGACATCATCTTCCGTGGCTACAATCAGAGGTGGGAAGCTCTCTAAAATATGGTTTGCATGATCAGTATGACCTGTTAATACACCTAAAACAGAGTAAACAGAATAGCTATAATACAAGGAAAATATAACAGTGGAAAGATGTAAGGTAAGGGGAGACTCACAATCACTCATAGGAACAACAAGAAATTCCTCTTCAGGATGATGTAAAGCCGTACTGTCAATTTGATTGTTCTTCTGAATTGTAGTCACTGACGATTGAAAAGATACCTCATGTTCAACAGAAGGTGTTTCTGACGAGACTTCTTCAAAATGTTGATCAGGTGGGGCAGCAGGGATATCACACCTTGCAGTTAAGAATCGACTGGTTGATGCAGTGGAGCTGCTGAGATTGTCTGGAGCTAACAAAGAAAATGTAAAAGTGTAATTCGTTTCATTTCTAAGCATAAACGTTTATCAGTCTACTGAACTTACCTATTTCAGATGTCTTGTTAAGATTCAAAGCAGTATCAAACTCCACAAAATTTTCAAGGGTAGTCAAGTCATGCTGTTGTGTTGAAATATAGCTCTCTAACCCCAAAGGGTTTTCTACGGTTTCCAGTGAAGCAATGCCCTCTAAGGATGCAAACTCTTCCGTACTCATGGACGGCGCATCACTGTGTCAATAAATACAAGAGATCAGTGTTAGTGTGTTGAAATGCATCAACCAATTTATTCTTGCAGCAAGGATGTTTCGGAGGTTAAGTGAGAAAGGTACCTACCAAAATTCTACGTTTAAGGGTCCTCCTTCATTGTCATTATCATTATCCGGTTGCTGAGGTCTACGTTTTCGTTTCCTTGCCGGTGGTCTATTATTTTGACTCATGGTAGTAATGGTTTCAATGGTTTACTGTGAAATGTGAAGTTACCATTGATTTCGATTTCGACAACCGGCCACTTGGGAGTAACAACAACAACCATACACAAACAAGCACGATGCGCGCGCTGCCAACCTACAATATCGAAAAATACGTCGTCTTCCTGTGTCGTGACTCTAAAACCCGAGATTACCAGTTTTTTTCTTTTGGATATAAAAATATTATTGAAGAATGTTTCAAATTTATGATTTTGTCGTTAGACATTCAAATAGTAGATGTCTTCAAAAGAACTTGTATTGGCAGTAATGTTGTTTATTTTCTTACTGTCATGGCGACTGACTTGCGCTCGCTGTGAGGGATTAGAAATTAACTTAATTTATACTTCATTTAATAAAATAATAAAAATAATTAAGTGGCACCTGCACAACAGTTGGCCATGGGTCGGTTATTTTTTGCTTTGATATTTTCATCCTCGCCGGCTGCCGTCGATGTTGTCCGGCAAGACAAAATAAAGGGCGACTTTGCCGTGGGAGCTACAGTAAAATTCTCTTGCTTTAAAGGAAAAGTAAAGGGGAAGGATGTATTTGAGGAGGACGTTGACGGAGAGATCCTTTCTGTTGGTAAGTGTCGTCTCCCTAAAGCTAGTTATTATCTGTGGAGTGACATCCTTTTCTCTGGATTATTTCCCCCATTTACCCTGCCGTCTTAACCTTACTATTGCAAATTGATAGTATTGGACTTGGTGTTGCAACAGGACTTCAAAAAGATTTACGTTTACTTAACGTGGGGCCGAACAAATCGCCAGTTGCCAAAGACCAAGCTCTTGGTGCCAGACGTCAGGAGCAAGAAAAACAACGGATGCAACAGGTGCTGGGGACAGCAAACCATCTGCATGAGATAAACCAGTCTCTCCTTGAGGCGGGACCATCAGGTATATTGAATTAAACTAAAAGCGCACCACAAAATCAATGGTAAATTCGACTCGATATTCAATGCTTCAATTGTTTCTAGGGGTTGCCCAACATCAATCTGTCAGTAGGGCCAAACGTAGACCCAAGGTACCAACGCCCACTCAAAGGTTAGCCATTCAGGAGAAGTTTCGTAGTCTAGAGTGCTGGAAACCAGGCCGAGACAAGGCAAGTTAATACCCTCAAAACCACTAATGTTTTTCTCATTCTTTGTCTAACTTATTGTAACAAAGAGTTTTTCATTTACAGCTAGAGCTTTTTGGGAAAAAAGTTTACATTTACCCTTTGCAAGTAGCACGGTTGAGGAGAAAGTACTGCAAGAGGCCCAAAAAATTATATCTAAGAATGATATCATATTTTGTGCCAGACGAACTGCTCACTCAAGAGGGTGTCAGTGCCCGAGGAAAAATGGGTTTGGTTGGGGTGGACCCCGACATTATTGATGTTGCTTTTGGTGGGTATATATGCACTCTAAATGGGGAGGGACAATTTGTACCTAGGCCAGGTACAAATGCTTTACTTTGTATGTAACAAAGATAAAAATTTTGAACTGATTTACACACATCTTGCCTAAGTACAACAATTGTCCTTACCCATTTAGTGTGTACTAAACCTGGAATGGTTCTCTCAA